CACGCCTATTACTCATTACTCACACCCCGTACATTATGCCCGTGCGCGCGTCTCCAGAGTGTACACCCCAACCCAACCCGTTTCCCCACTCACATCACTCCGCCCGCAGCTTGAACACGCGCGCCCCCACCCGCTCCCCAAACACATGCCGCCTTACGTACTCGTTCTGGAACACGCCTGAAGGGTCCACGTCGCGCAGCACGCGCACAAAGTCGTCGAAGCGCGGGTACAGCGCGCGCAGCGCCGCGGGCTCTAGGCGGTGTGCCTTTGCCCAGTGCGGGCGCCCGCCGTGCGCCGTGACGATCTCCTCGAAGACGGCGAAGAAGCGCCGGTAGGGGACGTTGAGGCCGTAGGGCCTGCGCGTAGTGGTAAGTACATTACATTAAACGGCAACGGGGGACGGGGGAGGGGGGGAAGGGGGCACACGCACTTGTACTGCGCGATGCCGATCCAGCACGTCTCCTGCGCGTAGCTCGGGCTCAGCCAGATATCGTCCGCCGCGGAGAAGCGGATCTCGAACGGGAAGTGCGGGCGGATGCCGCGCGGGTCCGCCGCCTCCCTATCCATCCACGCGTGCAGCGCGCGCAGACACGCGGGCGCGTTCTGGAACGGGACCGCCCACTCCGTCGTGTGCTGCGGGTACTGCGCCGCGGTGAGCTAATGGTGCGGATATGTAAATATGGGATGCGCGCACCCGGCACTCGACGTTGAAGATCGTGGGGCTGTCGTCGATGAGGGTGACGTGCCCGCTCGAGAGCCACGCGACGAAGCGGCCGGTGAGCGTGTTCACGATCGGGACGGGGCGGCCGACGAAGAGGAAGAACTGCACCACGTGGAACGCGAGCAGCGAGCTCCAGAACCACGGGACCGGCGGGAGCTTCTCCTGCGGATCGGGCGTCAGCGGGCGCCGGCGGAGACGGCAGATAGATGGCGCACCTCGCGGGTGCGGTTGACCACGCTGCACTTGACCGTGTGCGTCGCGGCGATCCACCAGAAGCGGACGTGCTCCGCGGAGTGCACGAGCTCTGTGAGGTTGTCGACGACGTCGTCGAACGGCCGCGCGCACTGCACGTCCTTGAGGCGGAACGCGCGCTCGACCGCGAGCTGCACCGTGAGGATGATCCCGGTGCACCCGAGCCCGCAGAGCGTCGCGAGGAAAAGCTCGGGTCGCTCGTGGCGCGAGCAGGTTACCTTTGTGCCGTCCGCGAGGAGGAGCGTGAGCGCGACGACGTCGGCGGACATGACCGGGAACGCGATGCCCGAGCCGTGGCTCGCGGTGGCGACGATCCCGCCGAGCGTCTGGTCCGATATCGAGCCGAGGTTGCGCATCGCGAGCCCGTGTTTTCCGAGCGCGGCGTGGAGATCCGTCAGCGCGATGCCGGCCTGGACCACGACCGCGAGCTTCTCCACGTCGACCTGCGCAGCGCGAGGAGTCAGTCCGGCGCCGTCGCCCGGCCGCGCACTGCGGCGCACCTCGAGCAGCTTGTTCAGCTTGGTCATCTTCAGCATCAGGTCGTTCGTGCACGCCAGGTCGCTCGGGCTGTGCCCCACGCCAACCGCGCGCAGCACGCGGCCCTCCCGCCGCGCGTACTCGAGCACCAGCTCGCAGTGGTGTTCATTTTCCGGCTCGAAGATCGCAAGGGGGCGGCAGTGGAAGGTGAGCCCCCAGTTTACGAATTTGGCCCTCGGCGAGGTCGAGGGGATGGTGATTGCGGCGAGGATGGCGTCCGCGTCCTGGCGCTCGGTGGCGGTAAGAGCCATCTCCTGGTCGATAAGCAAGATCCACGCCGTTTTTTCCATTATCCCGCATCGGATCGATGGCGTATTGGTGAGCACATTTGGCGTCACATGACGATCGCCGAAATACTCAACCATGGCGTCGACGAGGAAATTCCAGGACCAGCTGGGCAAAATGTGGAGGATGCGAGGACGGGTTCCCAGGAAAAACCAACAAGATAGGTTAATTTCCTCGGCCTAGAAAGCGACTAGACGTTCATCGGAGCTGATTCACAGCAGCCCCACCAAGCGGAGGAGCGCTAAAAATGCCAGACAACGCATGTGCGAGTGCAACTCCCCAATGAGTAACACTTGTGGACCTTGCAGAGAAAAATTAACAGCTGAGAACTGAATCGCTTAGAGGACAGGGCCAGTAAACGCGGACGAGCACCAGAGAATGCCGAGCGAGAAAAAACCGCCGTGGAAAGCCCTAGTCAATGCCGGTGTAACGAACCACGGTATCCCGCAGAACGGCGCGCACCCACAGTGCCCACAGCGCGCGCGGAGTCCCTTCGCACGTCTCCGCACCCGTTGCCAGAGCCCAGATTAAATACGGTAACTGCCGAAGACCAGCGGAAAAGAGGTGGGAGGGCGATGGGAGAGCGAGAGCGGGGAGGTAAGAAGGCGCAGGCGCAGGGTCACGCCCTTTACGTCCTCCGCGAAATGAAGTCGTGGGACGGGGTTTAATTGGTTTGCCGTCGGGCAGGGCGTCGGTTATCGGGCGGTGGGAACGCGCCGGGCATTTACTTGGTTACGGCAGCCCTTCCCGCCATCGCTATTTTTGGATTTCAATCCTGCTTCTATGGACGGCGGAGTTGGACTGAATGATGCAAGTGAGTGCTGGATTCCGTGCGCACCCGAGAAGGCTCAGGTCGGGGTGCCATCAGCGCATCAGATGATCCGCGATCAATATTGATGCGCGCCTGTCACTGCTCCGCGCCTCACTTTCCCAACACGCTTCATCTGTCCCTAACCGAGTGTGTAACCAGAATAATTTCCGACGCACCCGCCTTTGTGCGAAGAACAGCGAGCCCCTGGCGCGCCGGTTGAATCCTCAGCACAGTGTCGGTGCTGCGCTATTATCCCGTTCGGATCCAGACAGTCGCTCAAACTTACCGCAAAACATCTGATCCTCTCATCCTGCCTACTCAGGCACGGGGAGGCGAACCTCGAGCTACCTCCTCATCCACCTCTGTTTTGCCCAAGGCTAGAGGCCGTGTTCCGTACACAATATCCGACTTCTTAGTGACCAGCTTGACTGAGAGGATTTTGACCTCGAGCAATATGGGGTTAAATTGATACCTCCCACAGAGTGCGAGGTTTTATGTACATAGTGCACCCGAGAGCTTCAGCCCCGGCGAAAGTCTGAACAGACCCGCCCGGTTCAAGTTGTCTGTATACGTCCAAGACTCTTCGCAGGCAAGCCCGCACATGAATATGTATTATGCGCACAACAAGGCACAATTTTAGAGAGGCTACAGAGCCTCCGATGATCAGTGGCGATCGTCCCTATCTAGTGAATATGTAGAGCCCATATGTGCGGGGAAAGAGGGGGTTCGAGTCCCCCCGGAGGCGTTCCAACCCAAATTTTCTTTTGATCTCTCGCGGCGCCGTTTCGTCCGCGACTTGAGTGGGGATGCAGGCTCGCAGACGGACAAGGGTCTGTTTCTTCTTTGTCTCTTCAATCGCGGGATTTATGTTGTGCTTTTGCTGCATTTTTGATCGGGGTAGTTCTACGATCCTCTCAACAATATTCCCCGAGCGCCGTCACTCTTCTCAGTAGCTCGCCCCTCTAAATATAGTCCGCCAGCAATGACACCCCTACAAAAAAAAGTATTTTTCTTAAACCCCCAGCTCAGACACGGGGAGTCGAACCCCGAGCCACCTCTTCATCCACCGCCGTTGACGCAAGGCGAGAGGCCGTGTTCCGTACACAATATCTGACTTCTGAGTGGGGAGTGGAATCTGATAGACTGAGGGGACTTGAAGTCGAGCCTGGGGAAGATGGGGGGAATTTTATCCCTATCCATGTGGAAAGTAATGGCGCAATACCGAAAAAAACTCGTGCTGTGATCCGCGAGCCGCTTAGATTTATCCAAGGAGACAAACACTCCACCGATACGAATCAGAGCTCAGGAGAGAATATGGCGAGAACACCATGGTCTAATATCGTAGACAGACCAAAGGCAGACAGTACAAAAAATTGAGTATATCCCAATTGTTGTAGTGTCTGCCAACCACATATAGTACACCCAACCATCACTCAGGCCTTGGGCGTTTGTCCAAGACAAAGGGAAATTCCCCGTCCCCCGAGCGTCAGCCCCGACGAAGGGTGAAACAGCCCCGCTCGGTTCAAGTTGTCTCTGTACCATCTTAGCATCCAAGCACTCAGTTAGACTCCTCGCAGGGACGCACGAAAGGCACAATTATAGAGAGGCTAACGAGCCTTCGATGATCAGTGGCGATCGTCCCTATCTAGTGGGTCGCTGGAGACTGGATATATGCGGGGAATGCGACTACTTACTCCTAGACCGATGCCACGGAACTAACTTGGTTCACTCCGATCAAGACCCCTCCATCCGAGATCGCTTAAACCCGGCCCCTGATCGCCCTATATATATTATCCCAGACTACCCCTCTCGCCCAGCAAGAGCCTCAGTCGCGTTCCCCATGCACACTCGCACCCTCCTCGCCTCCGCGCTTCTCCTCGCCGGCCTGGCATCCGCCGCGCCCTACGCGCTCGAGACCGGTTCCGCGTTTCCAGCCACGCCAGGGCTGACGCACGCCATCCCAGGAGGCCAAGGCTGCAGAGACGTCCCGGACGCGTGCCGCGGGATCCCGGAGCAACTGCTCGCCGTGAGTCGTTTACAGCACTCTCTCTCGGGGCTGCGTGCTGACCTGTTGGATCGACAGCGATGCGCCAAGACGTTCGGGGTGCAGATGAATTAGCAGCAGTTACGATTTATGCAGGGGTGATTGGGCGCGGAATTGGGGAGGCCATTCGGTCCGGGAATTTGAGGTTATCGATTTAGGAGGGCGTATATAACAGAGTCAACCAATCTATTCGCCCGAAATCGAGCAGAGCGTGGAAAAATACAACCGAGATGATCTCGACACTACGACGAAGCGTAAATGAGCTCGCGCGCCACTTTCCTGCACTCTCTGAGTGACTTGCGGCATGGCACGTTAATGGGGTCTGAGACGGCAGCTGCAGACCAAAAAATGACGGACACGAGGAATCGAACCTCGATCTGCCTCTTTCATCCCAATCCCGGGAGAATTCCCTATGAGACCGCGCTATCCATTGCGCCATATCCGAATATGAACTGAGTAGGTGCCACTGCATGGCGTCTTTTACGGACTGTGCCCTCGCCAATTTGCATTGAAGACCAGGGAATTCCGGCTTTGGTGCAAGGCTCCCGACTGCAAATTGAAAGTCGAATAACGCTCCGTAGAATGGTGGGACAAGTTCGAGCTCAGGTTCATGCGTAACATTGATGAATTGCAGCGGACTTGCTCGAGGCGCAAGCCACACCGAACGTACGGACGTAGGGTATACTAGGTTGAGTACATATCCTCTGTTCATCAGCGTACGCAGCGCGGTCCACTGTCCCCCAACGCTCAACGCTCAGTCCCGGTACAGCTCCGCCCGGCCAAACTTCGCAGAAACTACACCCCGGCCCTTCTTGCCTGCCTTGCCGGCGGGCGCCTTGGCAGCGGGTGCCTTGGCGGCGGGCGCCTTGGCTGCGGGCGCCTTGGCCGCGGGTGCCTTGGCTGCGGGTGCCTTGCCCGCCGCCTTGCCCGCCTTGCCCGCTGCACCTGCTTTCGCCGCCGCGCCGCCCTTGCCCTTCTTCCCGGTCGCCGCAGCACCGGTCGCCGGAGCAGCGGTAGCCGCCGCACCAGTCCCCGCTGCAGCGCCCCCTGCAGCGACGGCATTACCCGCTCCCGCTGCAGCTGCTCCCGCCGCAGCTGCGGTGGCGCTGACCTGGAACGCCCCCGACGTGCTAAGCTGGGTGGTGATCGAATCGGCGTTGACGGCTTGCAGCGTATAGGTGCTACAACGCGACCGATCAGCAGCCGGCGGATGTGTATCCCATAGGCACGTACCCCGCCGGGATCTCTCCGAGCGCCACAGTGGTGTTAAGGGTCGTCGGGTCGATCCCCTGCGCGACGTCAAATGACTCGGTCTTGCCGACGAGCAGGAGCGAGAATTTCCTGGGGTGCCAGTTAGGATATGCAAGGCGTTGAGAAGCGGCAAGGGCAAGGCACGCACGGGTCGGTGGCGATGGTGGTCCAGGTGACGGCGAGGTTGCCCTCATCGGCGGCGCCCGTGGGTGTGTTCAGTGTGAGGCCCATCACGGATGGGAGCACAAAAGCTAAAAGAATGCTGCAACACGGTTCAGCATCGTTCAGACAAAGCTCTAGAGACCCACCTAGCGAAGACCATGGCTTCAAAAGTGGGAAAAGGACAGACGAGACTTGCTCGGGAGGAATAGTGATGGGGAAAGAACGAAAGGACACGGGGTGCCATCCCCTAGACCGTTTTTTATAAGCATTGTTATTTTTAGCGCGGTGCCGGTTCTGCTGGCAACCGGCATCGGACTTACACCCAATACTTGGATCCGCCGCTTAAAATATCTCCTTGCCGTAGGTAAATTTACACGCCGTTTATAGAATGCCGTATTCTAGAAGTTCCGCGTTGCACGCTAGGAAAAATGATGGGTTTGGTTTCTGCGGAATGCGTTTACGGAGGAGGCTGGACTGGGTACTGGCAAAATTTCCAAAGCGCCGCTGTCTGTTGCCGGGTCTGGTAGTAAGGTGGGTAGGTAGGTCTAGGTAGGTAGCATTGCACGAGACGAGCGGTCGAACTATAAATATACATCATATTGAGGATTATACATAAGTATATAGAATCGACTACCGGCGACCGCGACATCTGTCGCTGATGGGAGAACCACGATTGATAGGCGGGCGGCACGGTGGGAATCTCTCTCTAGCAACGATTTGAACACCGATTATTCTGTGAGTTTGTGCTTCAATACTATGATTTTGTCGAGCTCTGTACCTGCAACATTCATTGTTGCAATACACGTACGTGGAGATACCGGTGGAGCATTGCATCTTGAATCAGATCACGTATATCCTGCCTGAAACACTTACACGCCTGCTCATTGGCACGTCGGACAGAATGATTGTGCGCTAAAGGGCAATTGAGCGGACTGATCGAAGGTGGCGTCCGAGTGGCGTCTCATTTAAGTATAGACAGAAAGATGCCGGACTCGGATCAGAGCGGAGAGTCCATTGGCCGGGGCTCTCGGCTTGATCAAGAAACTGATCCCTCTCTGAGTCTCTCGGCAGTTTCTGGGAATGAAATACAACAGCCTCCCAAAGCTTGACTGGAAAATGGAAAAGGAACGGGGTTTTAAATATGCGACCATGCGAAATAAACATCACGATTTCCTCACAACGCACCAGTATCGGGTGCAGTCGCGATAGCATAGATTTTGAGTGGGTGGGTAGATACGCAGCGTTGAGCGACCGAACATATTGTTGGCCGGCCATGTCGAAATGGCGGAGTAGGTAGGTAGGTAGGTAGTATCACACGGCCGAGTAATCGGTGGTCGAGGCGACAGTTGATGATCGCAATTTAAAGTCGTGATCAGACTGATTGGTAGGTAGCCGAACGGTACAAATCTGGGGAGGATATATCACGACACAAGCGAATAACAGATAGACTCATTCCTTCACTCACAAGCCCTGAGCACACCGGACTGAGATAATCTGGTCGCGCTGTATCCGTATAATCAATGTGCGGGACAACTAGCATGTCCAATTAAGAAGGCATGAGGAAAATATCGCGAAGCTTGGATTGCCCTTGTACTAAAGCTCCTGATCTTCTGAAACCCAGCATCCATTTTCGCGCCGGGCGCATCCAACTTTTAAGTACACGCGTCGGCTTTATTTATTGCGGCCGACGCGTCACGTGCAAGAAGCCTCTTTACTCCCGCCACCACTGTCGCGTCCACAGACGGCCATCCTGCCCGCCGATGAGGCCCGATTCCACACTACCGCGCGTTTACAGGCGACCCTCACTGCTTTCTCGCTCCTGAGCCCCTCCTTGCCCGCAGGAACCGCGCCCGGGGCTAACGTGCAGATTTCACCAGGACAGGCGCGCAAGTGCGTCCTTGTTCTTTTGTGTTTTGAAAGGTACCAGGACCACGGGTCGTATTTGCTGACCGACGATTGCAACTCATCGGAAGTCAAGCAACGTGTTGGTGCGTCCAGCTATTATCTCAGTATTTCCAATGATTTTTAGCTCCATTTTGCTCCCTCGTCCGCGCGCGCTTCTGGCTCGCGATTCAGACGTTCTCCACGTTCACCGCTGGATACCGTTCTGGTGGTTACCCCCCGTATCTAACGACGGCCCCGTCAACTCGTTGAGTCAGTTTACGAGGGTACATGCTCCCCGTGTGCTGGATTCGGCAGGGAACTTTGTCTTTTACTCCGTGCGCTCACGTTCAGTAAGTTGCTCGGTACTTGGCTGGCTACCCGATTGCTGGCGTCTTGATTTCATGAAACTCAACAACTCACAGTGGTTTGAGCTGCAGGGTTTCCAAATTCCAGCCGCCACCTCTGCGGCTCCGATCCTTCATGCATCTGACATGAATTCTCTGACTTGACTCGGACGCGCTCTGCTACGTAGCTTTGCACTCAGTCTGCGTTGGTATCTGTCTTGCTTGGATACAATTGATTGGCGATCGCTTACCGAGGTAGCGCAAGGTACGTAACTTTGCCCCGACTTCCATTTGCAATTTCGTTCAACTCTCCGACAAGAGTTCGGCGCCATTCTCGGCGTCCCCTTCACGATTCCCAACCTCCATCTATTTCTTACCCATCCGGGCGCCCATCGGTTTCGGCCCTTCGCCCACTTCTTGCGCATATACTCTGCGCATCTTCAAGCCGTGTGCTGTACCCTATACGCCAAATATTGTTTCGATCTCTACCGATGCTCAAATGTCATGAAACATCCCTCAGTGGAAATTCGCGATTCCATTCACGGCTGTTCCTGGCCGTCCCCGAGCCGTCCCCGAGCCCCCAAATTATTTCTATCAACGCTTAGGGCGCGCCGACCTGCAAAGAAATTCATGGCTCCAGCCGAGCGCTCAGCACAGGCGACGTTTAATCCGAGATCCAACACGACTCCACCGTCCTCTATTTCCTTGAATTTTCCTTCGTCAATTCTTACCAGATCCCGTCTCCTAGCCACGCCGACGGAATCGCCGACCCCAAAAAGTTGGGGACCGGTCCGATATGTAACCGGGCAGGACACGTGTTTCCTGCATCCCTTTTTAAAGTTTCTTGACCTTTTTGTTGTCGACCCGCAATGTCGTGTTTGGCGCTGGTCAACAGCGCGCTGGGGTCCGTACGCTTCTTCATCGAGGCGCAGCTCCGCTTCCTCAACCCCGCGCTGCGCCTCCTCCCCTCCGCGATGAAGTACATCGGCATCCTCCTCCTCCTCATCAATGCGCGTTCGTTCCCACTCGGCTGGCATTGTACGTCTCCTTCTTTTCATTTTGAGGTCAAACCGAACGAATGAGCACATCACAGGCCGCGTTCTCTACCCTGTTGCCGAATTCTTGGTGGCGTTGCAGTTCACGAAGCTGCGCCTCCTCTTCTCGTTCTCGAACCGCGCTGGGAAGAAGGCAGCGCTGGAGGCGTGGTACGAGACGCGCATGCCCGTCGGCTTCCACCCGCTCCGCGAGGTGTGGACGTACAAGTCTTGGGCCAGTGCGTGCTTGCTCGGAATTTGCGTCATATTTGGATTTGCTGAACTCCGTGCCAGGTCCCGACGACTGCGACTTTTTGCTCCACCTCAACAATTCGAGCTACGGCAAGGTACGGGCGTCCCAGTTTGATTCTTCTCTCTCTCCTTGATACTAACTTTGTCAGGCGATGGACTGCGCACGCTTCCGCATGGCCATCGAGACGTTCCCCAACTTCCTCCGCTGCGGCGGCTGGGCGCCGCTCGCTGGTGTGTACCGTCTCTTCTCCTCCTCTCCTCTTCCTAGCTGAATCCTGGCATCCTAGCCACGCACTACCACTTCATCCGCGAGATCCCCATGTTCGCGCCCTACGAGGTGCGCGCCAGCGTCGGCGCGTGGGACGATAAGTGGGTGCGTACATATCCGATTCTCTTACTCTTCGCGTACCCGCATCCTGTTTGTCCCGCTACCTGCTCTATTTCCCGCCTACATTATTCACTCGCTTCCGCACGTATTCTGAATCTGACGAACGCACGCGCCGTAGATCTGGGTCATT